GAGCCACTGCACTCTACAGTGAGTGTACGTGTCAGAGGAGATGAGCCTTTGCTGACGATATCACATTCTCCCCAAAGTCAAAGAAGCAACATTACACCTTCACTATAAAGAGAGGGGATTCAAATCCAGCTTTTGATGAGGAAGCAAATCACTAAAGGGATGTTTAAAAAAAAAAAATCTGCAGGAATAAAGTAGGACAGATTATGTCCAGAGTGTAAAGCCTCTACTGTCAAGCGAAAAGGAGGCATAAAGGTTGAGTGAGCGTCAGCAGCCATCTTTACTTAGTGTTGATCTGCCGCAGTGAGGCAGCAAAAAGTTTTAGGTAGTACTTCCCAATTTTAAAGCCTTTATTTTGAAATACTATAAATTCACACAAAAAATAAACACACAACACCCTTTGAAATACTGCATACTGGATGGAATCAAATGTTGCTGCTACTCTTTAGCCTTGACGTTTGTTTGTGACAAAATACTGTCCCCAAGTAGAAAAATCAAATCTGCCTGTTCCAGACAACCACAGAGACAGAGTCACTCCCTCACTGCCAACATCAATGAGCCAGAGACTGATATAAAACAGAGGAGGCGATCAGCACCATGTAAAGCACACGTCTGGCTGGCTCAGAGTCTGTGATGAGTTTACCTGGAGGTTTGCTGGGCTGAACACAGGGCAGCGGAGTGCCAGGGAGAGGGGTGGCGCTGGCTGACTCCTGCTGCCCCATCAGAGCAGGGTACAGGGGAAGAACGCCCAGGGCTTTGCCCAGCATGCGGGGCCCCAGGCTCAGCACGCGAACTTTTACATCCCGGTAGCAGTGGTTGATCATACGCAGGTGGACGTTCACCCGGGTGGTGATACGGATCAGACACTTCACCATGGCTGCAGCATTCACTTGTTTATCCTGCTGTTATGGTCCCCTGTCCCGGAGTCCAGGCCACAGTCTGCAGACTGTCTGCCTTGGTAGCGGATAGCGGACACGACGAGCGTGAGGTGAAACAGTGGGTCTTCTGCAGCAGTGCTACAATCACCAGCATTGGTCTGGCCTGGTTTTGACCCCACCCAGACCACAGACATACATGGAATAGAAGGCCCAAGCTATATTGAGCTGGGGTATTAATACCACTGTAAGGCACCCAGTCAGCACACACTGGGGGTGGGAAGCTCTTATGGCTGAACCCACAGCAAAAGACCCTGAATCCGTACAGTACAGCTGCCACTGACCTCTGTTGATCTCAGTCTACAAACACCTGCAGGACCATGGGGGACGGTCTCACAGACAGAGGCACTGACGCCAACTGTTCTGGACCTGGAGCCGGCAGGGGGCTGTGTTGTAAGTGACTTTAGCTGCTGCTGAACTGGAACAACTCTCACCAACACTTGTGGAAACACACACACACCACACACACACACACACCACACACACACACACAGCTCTGAAAGCTTGCATCGAAGTGGAGCAGCCTGAGTGACGCACACACCTGCAATATGTCCCACCAATGGTGAAAGCATGAAGTGAGCCAAATGGCTCCAGTTACAGCTTGTGAGTGTGTGTGTGTGTTTTCTCAAGAAGGGGAAGAGTTCTCACGAAAGGGACTTAAGGCCTCCTGATCCATGGGAAATATGGCATCAAACAGTGATTCACTGCAATGCAACTTTATTAAGTCCTAAGGCAATTTGGTTTAGACAGAAAAACTAAATCCAGACATGCACTAACAAACATCCACAAAAAAAATTAAAAGTTATTTGGAACTTGAGCTTAATTGCAATTTCTTTAAAAATACTAAAACACTGAGCTAAAAATGAAAGTTCTTTAAAAATACCAAATTCTTTAAAATTACTTCATTTCAAAAGTACTAAACACTGAGCTAAAAACGCAATGTCATAAAAGAAATACAATTTAAAAAAGAATACTAAATATAAAAAACAAGTGCAAAAAATGTACTTAAAAAAACAACTAAATAACTAGATATGAATGAATAAAATTAAAAAGTCCACATGGCATTTGAGAGTAGGTTTCATTCATGTCTCAAGCGTACGGTGGAGCACAGAGTTGTCCTGTAATGCCTCGTTCACCCGGCAGATTACTTCTGCTGGTTGGCTGAGCACCTGAGGAGGTAAAGACTCTGCCCGAGACAGAGCACGTGGAACTGGGTGTGGAGGACATGGGTTGTGTCCCTCATAATGTCCTGGGCCTCAGCCCTGAACCTGCAGCTCATAAAGTGAGGACAGGCTATAAGGGACACTCCAGTGATTTTGGTGAAGTGGCTCAGTTCGGTTTTTGACACTGAGGGACAGACACCAGCAGATGAAGGAGAAAGACAAAATGCTATCGATGAAGGAGCTAGTTTGTCCAGAATATCCTTTTCTTCACCGTTTATCACTGCTGCAATAACATACTATTTACGAGGATATCTGAAAAGGGGAATCACAAGTGCCTCTTGTGTAGCAATGTAAATGACTTGTCAGTGGATGAGGTTGACGTAGAAACAAGCATTCTCACTGTCCAGCCTCTAAAGGACAAATTAACATCTTGTAAAAGAACGTTTCTATCCCAACACACTAACAGCCACCATGAGATTTATCACTGAAGCGTGAGGGAGGAGCTTACCCTCCATGATAGATATGTGCACAGCTCTCCGACGCGTGCGCGGCACACTGGTGAGGCGAGGTCCGTGGGTGATGGATGGACAACTTCTGCTGGGCACGAGGCCAGCCCTGCACAGACAAACACACACACACATACATGCAACAAACGTCAACGCACAGAGAAAACCACCCCCGAGTGGAGGTAACTCAAACTGTAGCGAGTAGGTGCTGCTGATATTAAGACACCTGGTAGCGTGGTGCCAAAAGGAGGAAAATGAAACAGAAATCGGATCGAGAGTATTCTGATCTCTCCTGACTCTACCTGTGTATTTCTGGAGGTTCGCGTTTGATTTTGGCACTCTGCTCCATCACCTCTTTAGCCACTCGTCCACTGTTATAAAGCACAGAGACGATGCTCAGGATGAGTTTCACATACACACACACACACACACACACATACATACATACATACATACATACAACCAGACAACCTGCTGCCCCCCGATGCCATGAGAGCCATCACTGTAGTGGATGAGTATAATGCATGAGCATCATGACTGAATAACTCAGCTTCATGACACGCACGCACACGCACACGCACACACACACGCACACGCGCACACACACACACACGCAGGCAAAAATATCAACACAATGAACAATGACTTGCTCTTTGACAGTAAACTGAACATTTAACTGATTTGACCGGTGATGCCACTTGATACTACCTGATATTTTCTATGTAAAATCACATTTCATAGCTTTAAGCTTGTCTGAATGTTAGTATTTTCCTTTAAGGGGAAGTTCAACAAAACTAGAAATATCTTCCCAGTAGTTAGCATCTAGCTATGCACATACGTCTGTTTTTTTACATTTACTGGCCCATGAAATGCAGATAAAGACTAGATTTAGGCTGTATCTGTTAAAATAAATATATGTTATAAAATATGTTATATTATATGTAATATTGTGCATTATAAAAGTTAAAAAAAATAAATAAATATCCTCTCAGATTTTGTGATATACACTTTATGCCAAAGCCCCAATGAGGACTTTTTCTTTGGTTTTAAGTAGTTCATCTGTAAATTAATTCACAGCTCTCATTTAAAGGTTGCAGGGAAAATGTCAAAGATGAAAAAATCGAAACATTATATACCACTAAGGGTGGTTGAGAAAATATGTTACATTTATATAAGTCAGTGTCGTGTATATACAAGGTGATAGTGTGTCATGTGATGAGTCCCCTTTATTCTGTCCTCTATCTTGTGAAGTGTCAGTTCTATCCACTGGGCATACGTAGGCCGACGTTGAAGCACATAAGGCCAGGAGGCCACATCCTCTGGGAACACCTCCCTCTGCACTTCCAGCTGGGGGATGTTTCTGTCCTCCCCTCCCTGTCATCAGTCACACCGCCTCTGTCGTGTACTCTACCTGTAACGAAAACGGCTGCCCTTGAAGAACAGGTTGCTGCTGGACACCGTCCGAACCTGACTGGACTTCTCAAGCCTGGAAAAAAAGGAAAAGACAAGTGAACTAAGTTGTATTGACACAAAAAAATGGGAGGAAAACTCTTATCAAAATAAGTTATGTACGAATCTGCTCCTTATATGATCACACTGAGGCGTCAATACTGTACAAACTAGAATGTCACTCAGTAGAGAGCATACCACCGCCAAGGTCCAACAGTCCAAGCAGCAGGAAATTTCACATTGAAATCAGTTCCATAAATATGCCTGACTTGTTTTTTCATCAAGATCCATGACTTATTCTTTGAGAAGTCAACAAAAATTGTGGATCTGCCACCTGATCCAGATCCGCACCATTTGCGTAATCTTGCTTACAAACAAAGAGAGGGTAGCGTTAATTATATATCTACAACAAACAGGAAAATAGCATCAAATAACCTATTAAATGATGCATATCCCCTCTTTGTACTGTCGGCTCCTTGACACGGCTCCATACAGTATTCAATATGTTTATATTGCCGTAGTAAATGAGACATTAATGATTGATGCTTTATTTTCCTTTTAAGGGAACACACGATCACAGGTCCTCTCTCTCTGCCTTCCCCCACACTCCTTATTACAGCAAGATCTTAATAAGTGGAAGGTTGATAAAAATCTTTTCTCTGTCTGCCACTTCAGAGAGTCATTGAAAGGTCACATCATATTAGCTCCATCAATTCCTGTGCTAAGCTCTAACCTTGTGATGCCCCCTCTCTCCATCTGCTAACCCCCACGCACACCCTTCATCACCTGAGCTGTCATTACCTCACCACTCCCACTCTGTACTCACACTGCTTGTTTTTTTGTTTTTTTTAATCACCCTCCATGAGCCAGGGGTGAGCAGAGGGGGAGCCACACTATTATTCATGGCTGACACAGGGGAGCAGTATCTCAGGAGGAGTGGTGAAGTGCCTGCAGTCTCGTGCCAGAGCACTCTAGCTCGCTAAAGGTCAGCGGCAACTCGCACTTCATTTTCCAGCTGACAAACAACCCGGTGGGAAGATAGGCCTTTCAGGACACAGAGGCACCTTGACAGTAACCCGCCTGACTGTGATCGAAGCAACTAAATCACGGCAGTAAGGAGAGAAAGAGGAACAGTGGAATTCAATAAAGGAGATGTGTGGACTCACTTATAGAATGCTTGATTCTCCACTCCGCATTTCCAAAGGTGCTTGCATGCCTCCGGAGTGGGTGCGAAATATGTCAAGATGATCTTTTTGTCCTGCATGTTGAAAATAAGAGAGCGTGCAGGACAATATAATAAACCGAGGCAGACAAATCCCGCATCAGTAGAACTTACACTCTTTTCTCCACATCCAACAATTCATGCTCTCACCTCCTTCTGATTTGCATGAACGTGGAACGTCTTGCCTTCGAACTTCAGTTTGGTCACCTCGTCCCTGTCCGGGGGAAGGAGCAACGGTTAAACACGCAGCGAGCGGAAACAGAGAGCCGCAGCCTCTTTAAATATTCATGACAAGCACTTTGGGATCACATAAACAGCCACGGACCTCAACATTTGGCTGACAAAACACATAACTGATAATATTCCCTGCAGACTGGGAACAGAGAACGGGAGAAACCTGAGCACTGCCGAAGGCTAAACAAACAAAGGCCTTATAAATATGGCAAACACAATATGTCTGTTGTCATTATGTAACTGTAACCTTCTCACTTAAAAGCGAACAGACAGAAAAACCTCACATACACATTTTCAGTTCAGAAATGAAACTTCTTGCTGACTTTAAATCAGTGTCCAGGCTCTTATATATCAAACTATTTTCTTGAAGTATCTGCCAATCTAGCTGCTGTAATTAGCCATCTGTGCACACATTTCTCCCCGGCTCTTGTCACAGGTAGAGGCAGATGGCAGAGCTTTGTTAACTGTGACCGTGCAACCAGCTGTAGAGCACATGCTGTTTCAACACTCTGCATATAATGCACATATGTCAGATCAGGGGAAAAATCCAGGCTAGCAGTGCAGGATTTGTCTATTCACATCCTGCAAAGACTTGGGGCATAAGTGGAAGTCGCACATTTCGCTCACCATTTGAGAAAATGGACTTGCTTGTTCCCCTGAAGCACCACAAAACCAAACGGCGTGAAGGCGAGGAACGCTGGGTTCCCAGACACGTCCTGGAAATCCCAAAAACAAGTGAAGCATGAGTCAGACATATGGTTTAGCATGTACTGCACTTAACATCCAGTAGGAACATTTTAAGTTTCACAGAAACACGTGTGAGATCAGTAAATATTGAACAACAGCACTTGAAAGACCTTGCACGGATGCGGATCAACACCATATGTCTCCAGCATCTGGGCTTTCTGCAGGAAATTTCGCTCTGATGTTTCAGGTGTCTGTCCACTGAGGGAGAGCAAACACAACACAACATCTGTGTCAGTGTAAAAGTCAAACAGATATTTCCAAGCAGGACTTCAGAGACACACACAGACAAAAAAACAAATCAGACTATTAACAATAGATGAAGCAAAGAAAATATAGGAGGATATTTTCAGAGCGTATTGTTTGTTTCAACTTTAACAATGTGCAGGAACTCTTTTAGAAACAGTGTTTACTTGGTGGTGTGGAGGAAATTGACCACTAGTGGGCAGCAGAGTCTCATGCTGATCGTTATTCTGCTTCCAAAGCATCAGAACTGGATTTGATACTGGAGATGTGGTCACATGCAGCAGAGCAAAGAAAAGACCAGCCCACTCGTTCATGAACAGAGGTGGCAATAAAAAATTCTTTGAAAAACTAAACTTGAAAGTTGACTTTATTTTTATTTGGTTCTTAAATTGTTCTTTTTATATTGTCTTATGTTTCTTTTTCAATTAGTCATGAGGCTTTTATAAAATGTACTATACACTGCTCATTCAAAACACCTCACACTTAACACTGCACTTCTGTCCTCAGAAATAAACCTCAATTTAGTTCAGATTAGCTGCAGTCAAGAGAATGGAGGGGGAAAAAAGAAAGATAGAGATTTCTCCAGACGTTATGGGATAAGATACTTATTTTAGTGCAATAAGAATGATTGAGAAGGAGTTAGAAGGATCAGTGTGAGAGAAACGCTTCATAAGCTCACCTACTATCACTGAGTGTTTGATCTGATCTCTTTCAACATCATGCTCTGCTGCTCTCCCAGTTCAAACCAAGGTCATGACCCAACACCAATAACTGTGAATCTGTGATTCTGACTGCGTTATGTAAGTGGATGGTGGAGAATGAAGAGAATTTCTCTTCTATCTGCTCAAATAACTGACAGTGATCTGCTTGGCCGAGCCAATTGAACCTCATTACTGCGGTTTATTACATAAATGTCGAATGAAGTCGAATGAAGCCTGGCTTTGTTGTTCTGCAGGTATGTGGAAACTGAGAGAGATTGATGGTGACCCTCACATCAACTCCGTCTTGTGTATATCGGCTATCCGGCGCTCCAGCTTCTCTGAGTGTTTGGGGAAAAAGTGGAATTTGGAGCTGTAACCTTCAGGATGTTTGCCGGGGTCGTAATCACCGATCTCAGCTGGAGGAAGCAACAGAGAGAAAAAACATTAAAATCTAATAAAAGTTCAAGCTGATATCATAAGGATTTTTTTTGTGTCTTTTTTGGTGCCTCTGCTGGTGGAGATGGGCTGAACAAGCCAAAGATTATTTGTGTTCCCTTCATGCCACACTGCACTTCCTCAAATGACCCTGAAGCAGATTTTCTCGCTGGAAGGAGGAGCTGACCACGCAGCCCATCTTTAATTCATCAGCCCCTCCTCCAGACGACCTGCCTCCCCTCAAACACTGTGCTCTCTGTGATGTTCGCTGAGCCACCACTCCTCGTGTGTGTTGCATTTGTTTAGGTTTATATTTGTGTGCACGTGTGTGTGTGTGTGTGGTGGGAAGAAGATGATAAGATGCCAGATAACGGCTTCAAAGATTTTCTATCCGAGCAGGATTTCTTGCTTATTAAGAGCAAACACACCATTGAGCCAATAATCATACAAAGTACAGAATAACCTTTTACTTTGTACCATAGTCAGTATCAGTGTGAAAAATCACATCCAATGAGCATTCCCTATTTCTTTTCTTATAGCATGAAAAATTAAAACAACTGCAGGCATATACCCTTTAATCAGTGTTGTACATTTGCCTCTAATCACCTAATTCAGCTTCTTTCCACATAAGAATCTATTTGCTTGACCGGCTGTGTTTATCGGCACGGTAAACTACCAGGCACGAGGTGGTCAAAGCACACAGTGTTGTACGTAATTTCCATCTGTCAACTCCCATTACCTTGAAGGATGTGTGCAGCCAGCATGGCCGCATCCGAGGTTTTACACAGGAGCCGACCGTGGTAGAGGTCTCTCTTGATTTGCAGGAAGACAAGATATCTACAAGGGGAGACGACAAAAATCTCGTCACGACAGTCTGACGGGTCTGCTCATGATTGTACTGATGTTACTCATACATACTCATAATCACTCATACATTTTAGTTACATTTCTCAGTGATGAGACACAGAAGGAATAAAAGAATAAGAAAAAGATAGAGGAGGAAACAACAAATCTGATAAACCTCAAAGGCTGTGGAGTTCACGTTCCCCATGGGGGATGGCGGGGTTTGAATATTTCTTTTTGATTCTGCTGAAATGAGGGTTTTGTTTTGGGGGAAAGAAGGGTCGGTAGACCCCGAGGGAAGAGCTGCTACTGATGCTGTTCTTCTCTTAAAGCCTCCAGCCTAGTTTCAAACCCACCCAACCAATCACCCCTCTGAGACAGCATCCGAAGCAAACGGCAGAACGGTGATGATAATAATGACTATTATCATTATTATCATCACCAGTATTATTATTATCGCTGGAGGGGAGGACATGGGGTTATTGAAAATCACCTTTACTCAACCTTCAACAGGAAATAGACATTCAACTCCCTCTAGGCCATTTCCACAAAAGCTAATAACACGTCCTGTAGGGGGACATGCATTAAAGCGCTGCTTATATTTCCTCGGTTGCTCTGCAGTTGGGTCAACAAACCCATTTGAGAGCATGATGAATAAATGAGTTATAATTCATTTCAGCGTGCTGACGGCTGCTGATGTTTTAACTGCATTAAAAGCCTATACTACAATATGAGCTCATAGCTGATCAGTGGGAGAAGTAGTTCCTGGATTTTCCTCAGTGCATAAAGAGCATTTGAACAATATTCAACAGGAATATTTCACAGAAAACATTGTGACACATCACATCAGTGTAAATGTGTAAAATGTAAATAACTAGAATTACCACCCAGTGTTTGTATGCTTCCACCAACCAGTGCAGTTACAGTCACCAACTTTGTTTCTTCTCTATGAGGTCACTGTGACTTCTGACCCCTAAAATCTAACCAGTTAATCTTTGAATCCAAGTAGCAACTCTTCAAAATTTGAAGAAATTCCATAAAGCCCGACTTGACTTCAAGAGGCCACAAACACATTGAGTAAGGCCACGTGACCTTTGACCTTTGACCATGCAAAACTGAAAGTGTTGCGATCACAAGACCAAAAACATATTTTGTGACCTTGACCACCAAATTCAAACTATTAATTATTATGTTAAAGGCACAGCGGATTCCCTCTAAGTGTTTCTGAGGTATCCTGAGGTATCCTGTACCACCTCAATTTAGTGCAAAGTGAAAATTTGAGCCAAATTTGGGGAAATTCCTCAAGATGTTCTTGAGATATTGTGTTCACAAGAATGGGACAGATGGGCCACCCCAAACCTAACGCGTTCGGGCTAATGGCAGTTGCAGGTGTGGAGGCATACTAAAAAGAGAGATGGCTGAGTTCCATTTAGCTGCTCCGTCACATTGTTATGACTGGGACACTTAATGTTTTTATCGGTGTTTTCCTATTTCAGTGGGTACATAACAACACATAATAATGATAATAGTAATACAATTCTTATATGGCATTAAACTACTGTCCAGACAATCCCAACATAACATGATAGCAGAGGAGCACTCACTGCCTGAGCCCCATACGTGAATGATTATTTACCCTGCCCCTCCTTCTGTGGTCCAACCACTCTCCACTCTCATCATCATGTTGTATCACTCCCTCCTCTGTCTCCCCCACTCTAGCCTTTCATTCATCCTCCTCTTCCTCTCCACTCACAATCAGCGCCCTTTGCCCCCTATCTCCTCCTATCTCCTCCTGTCTCTTCTGTTCATTACGTGCCCTCTACATGCGGTGTGCATTTCATGTCATTACACGGCAGAGAGACAGAGGACCCCCCCCCGTCCCCTCAGTCACTGATGCATACATCAGAAAATTGGGCACGCACTCATTCACCAGCTGGCTGCTCTCAGCATTATCTGGAGGCAGTGTGAATTCATAGCTTGTCCCTGTTCTTGTCACTGTTACCTATGTGCTAATTAATGAGAAAATATTACGATGGGGTGCTTATTCAGGAAAAAAATATTTACAAAACTCCTACATGTTGTTGCCTTGGATGTTACACTCAACCTTTTGGAGACCAAGCTACTCGTGAAGGCTTTTACATCCCTCCATGTTTCACAGCTCCTCATGCAAACAGTGTAATATTCATAATGTTTGAGACAGATAGGTACTCTTTAATTATGAAAGGCCATACATAATATTTTAGAAAGAGACATGTTTGCTCCAGCTAAAAATTATAATGCACAATCTGTATTGCAGAAAAACTAGAATGGCATACAATAGAGCGTATACCTCTGCAAAGGTCCAACAGGTAAGCTACACCAAATCAAAGCTAAACTGTATCGGTAGAGAAAGAAAATATCAGAGCATTTAACAGCTCATTTGAAGTGAAACAACAGCACATCATACCGAGTGATCTCCTCCTTCAGAGCAGCAGGATCGGGAGGGTAGAACTTGACTCTCAGACACATGGTGAACGGAGGTTGAGCTGCAAGAAACAAACACCGAACATTTAAGGAACACATCAAATGCTCAGCGGGAGACTGAGGGAGAAAGCACCACTGTTAAAAGACCCAGATAAAGGCAAATCTTTTCTCATGAACTGATCTATTAACGTCGAGCACCAAACAAAGTCTTTGAATAAAGAAACATTTTATAGGGGCAGCAACTTGTCTGTCTTGATCAGTCGTCTGCTATTTCTATTCTCGTCTTGCATGTTGTTTCCTTTCTTATTTATTTAGAATGGACTACAACTAACAACCATATGTCTCACAGTGGAATTATTTCGGTAACGTTTCCTGTGCAATCTTTTAGATATTTATTGTATTTTGTATATATTGGTTTTATTGTATATGTTTCATATTTCTATATTTAATGACATTTGACATTTGATGAGATTTCAAGACGAACTCAATAACAGTTTCTATTGATCAATGTGCATCATCCTTGTCATATTTTCTAATGAATATAAATTGTGAAATATTTTTGCTGGTTTACACTACACATTTTTTGATTAAGAACAAAATGCAATAAAAATTCCCACATTAAAATGCTGATGTATTAGCAACATCTGTTTGTACAAATGACCATAAGTACTCATTGTGTGTTATTACAATGGAGCATATTTTGATTACATATATGCTGATGATTTTTACTGATACAAAAATAAAATGTTTTTTTTTTAATCCACAGTATATCTTATGCATTCAAATTTCATGTATATACAGTATATTGCCAATATCATTCCACACTTCATGGAGGATGGAGAATTTAATGGTCTATTTCAAAGATAAAAATTCAATAAAACTCAATTTAAAAAATACTTACATTTCATTTGCTTTGCAATTGATTTTGTGAACTCCAACCAGTGCTGCATTGAAAAGAGAAAAAGAAATGACAATGATTAAATGTCATCAAAAAAGCAATCCTCCAATTTACATGTCAAATCATGACAGTGACACTTTAAATATAGCTGGGTTTGGTTGTTACCACTGACAGTTTTGTGGGGAAACCTGTTTATGCCACACATGGTTTTACAACAATACACTTCGAGTGCCGCAAAATTTCAAAGCTGTTTTGAATATAAAAAATGTTTTTGTAATATAATACGAAAATATTCAAACAGCTCTGTGTGAGTCTCTTGAGAGACTGTTAGAACAGGGAGGCGGATTAAAAAACAGGTTTCAACTGAAACCTCCAGCTGGTGTTGACTGTCTCTACAGCCAGATTCACCATCTTCTCTCTCTCTCTCTCTCTCTCTCTCTCTCCAGGAGCATATTTCTCCCTCCATCACTCTCCCGGGTTACCTTTCCACCAACCCAACCCTCCCACAGCAACAACCACCAAAATAGTCCTTCTGAGTGACGGCACGGGAATTGCAGCATCCTCAGGACTTGGTTCTTGTCTGCAGGACATCAACATGATCTGCAAACATGTGAATACTGCATGAATCAAGCAGTGCTCCGACATGCCTCGCAGCAGCCGAGCCTGATGGAACAACCGTCACTCTGAGAGGCCATGTGAATAAGAGAAGATGAGGAACACAACTTTTCACTCTGGACCCACAGTCTCACTCTCATCCCTCAACTCAACTCAATATATTTTTAAAGTATAGGCAAGAATGTCACCTTAATATGGTTAGAGCCAAACAATCACATCTATATAGATTCACTCTGAGTTCCCATTCAACCACTTTTTAAAACTCTGACTATAACAAGGAAGATTTCAGATTCAGGGCTGTATAGTATATTATAACTTATTTTATAACACAAGTAGGATCTGCCTGATTTTTATTGAGCCCTATTGCTGTTTGATAAAGCAATAGTTCAATAACTTTTTTTTGTGGACTCAAACATTTAACCCAGCTGTCCATCAGCATATTGGTGAGTTGATAATGAGTGAAGTTTAATTTTTGGGTGAACTATCCCTTTCTCATGCTGTACTTCCTTTGTAAATGTACTGTATATAAGGATGGATGGCATTACAGCTCCCCAAAAGTGAAGCCAAAGTTTCTTGATCGGCCCCTGGTGGGCAGCTGCAGTATAGGTAAAAATAAACCCCACCTTCTCCATGTTAGCAGATGGGATATGGACCAAACAGTCAATAAGAAAAACATGCATTTCTCTGGAAAGATTGGTTTTAATTAGTTGGCCGACTTTTCAGTAACTTCTGATTATTATCTCTGCTTTAACAGTGTATGTTTCTGAAGACTTCAGCCATGTGCAGTGAGAGCGAAGGCAGGCAGGTCATTTACTGACATCCAATCATTTCATTGGGTCAGAATGAAATGATTAACCATGTTTACAGGACAGTTGCAAGGACAGTTATAAATTATATAATTGCACACAAACCACCTCTGCCTTGCTCACACATACTGCTGCATAGACACGTACCCGCTGTTTGTCCGGATCCACATATCTGATGCCAAAATAGTCTTTCTCCAGCAAGTTGAGGTGGTGGCAGATGAGGTCAAACAGATACTGTCCCTTTGCATCACGCTGCAACAGAAGAGAGGAGAAGCAGGAATTTAGAAAGCACGACAACAAAAAACAATATTTGCGTGTGTGGCCAAAAAAAGATTCAACAAAGAAATGTGCAATGTCCTAAGTTTCAACATGATAAATAATTCCTGCCAGCAGAGTGGGCTTGAGATTTTTTTTAAAACCCTGCCACAGATATCTCAGATTCATCCAATATGAATACACAAGCCAGAGCCATCTGAAGAGTCGGGAATAAACCCGATCCCCAGCTAAAATTGGAGCTCAAAGAGAGGATGGGATAAATATGCTCACATCTCGCTGGGGTTTTGCTGATACTCTGTATTTCTGTAACTCACGAGGAAGCTTCCATCTCGCAACACACACAGAGAAACCTGTGCATTATACACTGTGACAAATACACATCTATATCTGAGACCATCCTCACAACTGAATAACACAACTTAACATCTCGGCTCTTGAAAATCTGGATCAAAATGGGGCAGATTTTTTTTTAGTAATCCAACAGTGACACATAATTCTGTCTGAAACATCCCACAGAATTCACTCCTGCCAAAATACAACAGGACAGACACAAATAAAGAGTTGCTCTTCAATAAAATCTGTTTATTTCCCTCTGTATGAAATGAATACACCTATGACTGATGCAGGTATAATATGCGTATGAAGACTACACCACAACTGGATGAATTTCTGCAGTGAGCCCACATGAGCAAATAGTGACGGCGGAGTCACACTGCAAATCAGTGTCAGTCATGTGAAGAGTTAGAAACAAGAGTGAGCTCTCATATTGTTTGATTATATTTAAAAACTCAACATGCAAATATTATATTTTAAACTAAATAAATGAATATGACTGGTTATTATAAACTGACATGTTTTTTTGGAAGGTTTTATTCCTCAAAATGGTTTTATCTAAAAAGATAAAACTCTGCTGTCTGTGACATTGAAGCATCCTCGAGTCTGAAGGTATCAGAGAACTAATTGTGATGAGGGTAGAAAGTGGGAGTGAGGAAGACAGCAAACATTAATTCTCAAGCCACAGTCACTGTCACCCCATGCCACGGAGATGTCATGACAAGATGACATATCACACACTGCTCTCAATGGGGATTTCCTTTTTTTTTGAACAGCATGAAAGGCTCAATCAGCACCAACAGTTCACAAACGCCACGAAGTCACACTGCTCATTTGGAGGCAACTGACAAAATAGCATTGCTCATTTTTACATATTTGTTAATATATAGACCATACATTATATAATAATCATCAGCTTTTTTGCTTTTGTTTTTCAGCACACATACAATCGTAATGATTTAATCGATAAACATAGTGCAGCATTATAAAAAGCCAGACATATTGCTTCTGAACTCGGTGGAGACCAAAACAGAGGTAATAGAAGGATGAATATTGGACTTGTATTCATCAGGAGCCCAGAAAAATTACTGCTAATTAATGCTAATGTGTCCACTGCTTTCATATGTAGATCAATAACTATCCAGGCCTCAATATGTAATGAAATATTGAAGCGACTGTGTTAATCCTCTCGGCAAATCAGGATAGTGCATGCAGCATAGTAGGAATGCTACATGCTCCTGATTGGAGAGGTTACATGTGCCAGCAGGAAGTTTAAGCTGGAATGCTGGTCTGTTTTTGCCGGCTGTGTTGTTCCAGGTTATGCTTCTAAGAGTCCACTCCGAGCCATTGTTGCTCTGCAGTTAGCATATGGTAAATTAACGCCAAGTGAGCAACATCTTCCATCTAGTCTCCTCCCTTATACCCTGGCTTTACAATACGTCTGTTTCATTAACCACCCAACAAAGAACAACAAATACAATGCAGGTTTAAGATGGAAACTCTCATATGGTAACAAATACGTTTAGGAATACAGATTGTATTTCTTGTTTACAGATATTTTCTGAAATCAGGAAATATTAACAGTTTTAATCCAAGTACTTGTTTTTGTGTTACACATGGACAAAAGCCTGATTATGTTCCTCAAAATAATAAGGTATTAAAATTTCAAAGCGGCCGGACAGACTGCCGCTAAGGTCTCAACCCTCATAATGACTCATGAGGAGGTCACTCCTCCTTCCCTTCTCCCTCACTCCCTCTGCTCGTCTGCCCTGTGACGGCTGTAAAAGTGTCAGCAGCAGCACTCTCCTCCATGTCATTACTCTGGCCACAGATAACAAGCCCTTTATTAGGACAAAGGACTGTCGATGCTGTGCTTCTCACTTAACTGACGAGACTCTTGTGACCAAATGCCAACAGAGCTTTGTTACTGAAGATTCAGTATGACGTTTTTGTAGTGAGACACAGGGGCTTCACCGGTGCTCGCCACTGTCAGTTTGAAATTCCTCTGCTGTCGTAACATTAATAACCAATTTGATAACTAAGACACATGATGAAATGGAGAAGCAAGGGTTTCTGCGGTGTGAAGGAAGATGCACGTTTGTATTTGTATGGACCAAAAACACATACACAACAATAAAGGGTCATTTCAGAGTGAATGGTAAAACTACAGTTTTCATGATGATTATTTCATAGGGTTGTTCAGGCAATCAAGTTTTAAATTATTTTTTGACACTTATTCATCATGTATAAGAGAAACCTGGTTTATAATCACATAATCAGGATAGGCTATCAAAAAAAACATGATTATCCCAGTTGGATATCTAGAGAAAGCCATGATTGAGGGAAAACCATGCTAACATGTAATGTAATATTATATACATATACCTGTAGAATCTGCACTTAAAATAAAGAAATAGCACAAAAAATATAAATGTTTTAGGTGTAAAGCATGACTCATCTTTTGTTTTAATCACTGGGCAGAGAAACCTTCTATGAGGAGATGCTATAAGAAGCAACGAAGCCAAGCACAAATAAAGAAAAAATGCTTCTGTTTGGAGAGGACACACTGAGTTAGAAAGGACATCTGTTCTTTTGTTGCATGGAAAGAGCAAGTTTGTTAGTATTCAACAGCACTCCCACCCACCGCCCTCCCTCTCCCCCTTTTCTCGCTCTTTGTTGCCCCCCCCCCCACAGCTGCATTATCCCCTCACCAGACTTTCTAATTATGAGATCGAGGTGATTGCAGAAGAGAAAGGATGTCCTGAAATTTCTAATTAATACTAATGAACCTCTTCCTCGTCTGAATTAGAATCTTAATGTAGCTCTGCAGGAGCCTCAACAGATTTACTAAGGGTTGTGTTGGTTTGACCTGTGGGGGAAAGAGTTTGAAAACAGGCAGGTGACCTGGTGTCACAATAATAAACTCTGCTAAGGTGTATTTATTGAATAAATGCTTCAGTGATTTCAGTTTCGATCACTTGCCTATCACAAAAATAGGTATACGGCACAAGCAGGGTATTTGGAGTGAGAGCATTACAAAATCTGGTGTGAAGTCCTGCTCTTGAATATAGATAGGTAGAAAAAACTCCATACAAAATCTTCATTCATAAACTGTGAGAAAACAATTCAATAAATTGTTATGTGGAAGGACTTCAGTGGAAAATCACCTGTAGCAGAACGTGCCTGTTATTTAGAGGAAAACAATCTATTAGTATAATCAGACATTTTTCTAAAGGGAAAAAACTAATTGAGCTCCAAATCAAAACAAATGTCATAATCATGAACCTATCCCAACTTGGTTTGGATCAAACATTTATTTGCTTAATATTTGTCATCTTTAATTGAAATAGTTTGTAACCACCTAAATAAATCTAAATGCTGCTGCTAATGTTTGACTGGATCCACCCATGAATGAATTCAGTCACACTCTGCTTCCTGGTATGTTCCCAAAAGGAAAAGTGTGTTTGACTCTCTTATAAGCTTCCTGATAATAATCTGATAGGCATCTAAAAAGAGACACAAAATATCTTTCTGATACGTCTCTAACTGAAAACAACACAATCTTATTTCTTTAAGTGCCTCCAGTCTACAATGGGCACTTTCCTTTCAGATTAATCATTAAAATGGTCTCTATGTCAATGCTGGGGCACAGACCATTAATAAAAGATTGTTTCACTTTATAGTGAGGGGAGTGGAAACATGATGTCGACGGCTGTGTGTGACTGTGTGTGTGCAACTGTTTGTGCGTTTGTGTGAGCAGTGTTGTAAAGCTAAAAGTACCAGGGGCCCTGAGGTGATTTATTTGGTTTCACTAGCAGATTTATGTCTTTTGTCCCAGGAGGCTGAGCGATTGCGCTGGTTAATGTGTCAGATTGATTCTGTTACCTGACCAAGCGGCAGAGAGTTCCAGTCCTGACCCTGCCACTTCAGCGGAGACCCAGAGCAACACAAAGGCCAACCCACTACCACTTATGAAGCTGTTTCCAGTTTTTAACACTGTGATATCAAGTCTGTTTCTTTAAATACAAAAGAGTAAACCCTTATAGTTCAAACCATGGTCTGTATATAAAGATGGACTACAAGTCTCTAGTTTCTCCCACAATCCAGAGATGGAGCTGAAATAACCTGGATACGGGTTGGTGGGGTCACATCATTACATTTCCTCTCCAACAACATCGCATTAACTTACTTGAGCCACTGAACAAACATCATTATTATAAGAACTATGTAAAAAGACTGAGGAGAAAAACCTATTTGACATGTACTTTCATGTTTTGGTTTGGCACATGACCCATCTGCTAACAGGAGGCAGGTTTTTGACATATACTGCAACAAGCCACCAGGGAGCGTTTTAAGATATTGTCCATCTTTATATAAAGCCTACGGTGTAGCCTCAGAGCTGCTTCCTTGGCAGTAGACTTGTGGTCCTTTTAGTTTGGTCCGTGTCTTTTCCAATAACATGGAGGAAGCCTGGTTAATGATCTATACTGAAGCCAGCCACCAGGAGGCAATCAAGACAATTTGGCTTCACTTTTGGGGGAGCTGTCATGTCAAATGCTCACATTAGCTGTTAGTTAGCTGCCAAACAGGTGTTTAAACAGGGTCTATGCATTACAATAATTTGATCTGTCATTCATGTACCT